TCACGCCGTAATAAACGAAAATAGTAGTACCACTCGTCTGCGCGTAGTATTCGACGGATCTAGTAAGACTGATACAGGCATTAGCTTAAACAATGTACTATTAAAAGGACCTACAATACAAGACGATTTAGTCAATATTTTGGCTAGGTTTCGTACACACAAATGTGCGATATCCGCGGACATATCAAAAATGTATCGTCAAATTTGGGTTGCACCGGAACATCGCAAATATCAAAAAATATTTTGGCGTGAAAATAAAGAACAACCTATGCAAATATTTCAGTTAAAAACGGTCACTTATGGCATTGTCTCGGCATCGTTCTTAGCTACCGCGTGCTTGTATAAATTAGCCGAAGATGAGTATAGTAATTTTCCAGAAGCATGTACTGCTATAAAAAATGATTTTTATATGGACGATTATCTATGTGGAGCAAATACGAAAGAGATGGCCGTAAAATTGCGTAATGACTTGCGAACAGTGCTACAATCAGGTGGTTTTAACTTACGAAAATGGGCTGCAAACGATTCGGGATTATTGCAAAATTTAAACCAAGAAAATGATGATGCTATGTCGGTATTAGAATTAGAGGACAATATGACGAAAATTCTCGAAATTATTGTTGTTCAAAATAATGTATCATTTATTTTGCATCAAATTCAATTAAATTCTTATAATATACATCTAAAAGCATATGAAGTTGATAAAGATAAGTCCATAATTTCAAAAAGTTTAATAAATATTGAACAATTTAGTAGTCCACCAATTAATATTCATCAAGTCCCCGATGGAAGATTAATGATTAGACTAAAAGAATATTATTAGACTATTTTATTTTTCATGATATTTAACCTATTTTATCATTTAAAATTTTTAACTGTACATATGTAAATAAACTACCAAATAATCAAGTATAAGTAGAGGTTAAGTTGACACGGTACGTAACGGCGACCAGTACAAAGTACAGGCACCGTTGCGACCCAGTCTACACTTTGTCAACCACCACCACGGGCGACGACACCGTCGACTCTCCCACCTCTAAGGCGGGATGGGAAGACAGGTCGTACGAGTACCGGCCGCCGGCGCTCGACTCTCTCTCTTACGCCGATCGTCGAACCGCACACGCCAGCACCTCCGATCGCCGTATCACCATCCATATAAAACTATACATATAGTCACTTTTCATTTACGTGCACACAAATTGTACCTTTGTTTTTTTTTTGGCGTCTGAATAAATTCATTCATACCAGAACCAGTGGTCGTCGTTCTCTTTTTTTTTTTGTTGTTCGTTGGTTACACCTCAAGACCGGCTCACCGCGATCTATACCAACCGCCGTAGCCGTGTCAAAGTAGTATAAGTAGTAATGAATAATAGTAGATAGTATTAATGTTTTTATTATAAATAGTAGTAGGTACTTGAAAGTTTTAATGCAATACAAATTTGAAGTCTTTATTTTTTAATTTAATTATTAGTTTCACGATGAATTGTGGGAATGACACAGAGAATGATATGTTTGGCAATTATGTTAGTGATGATAATATGCAGAATATTGATAACCCAGAGTATACTGAACTTCAAAATGTAGTTAATTCTATATTTACAATGAGCCCTTGTAAAACATCTTCAGTTAATCAACCAGTAAATGGAATTGTTTTGGAACCCAGTTATGATGAAACCATTTATCTTTCACTTGAAGAAAAAAGTGAAGTAAAAGATCTTCTGGAAGAATGGAAAATGGGGTACTTACTGCAAACTTGTGTGGGTGAGTGATTTTTTATTCAATAGTTATTATCTTATGTTATTCTTTTCTCTATACGCAAAAAGTTTTTTTTTTGTAATAATTACTACTGAAAAAAATTAAAAAATTAGAGAATATCAGATAATATGCTAATTACTATGTTAATAAATAATAATTATAATTTATTTCTAGCCGAGTGTGTAGATGTTGAAGCATTGAAGTACATCAACAGTAATCAAATAGCTCAACTATTACATAAATACCCACTTGGTAAACGAATCAAGTTTGAGCATTATGTTAAACAGTGGAGAAAAAACTCTATACATAAAGATGTTAGAAATGAGTCAACATCGAGAAAACGATCAATATCTATTTCATCAATTTCATCTACCAGTTCACCGTCCACATCTTCTGAACCCATACAGTCATTTTTGCTTCATGATATTTTAACTAAAAGTGTTCAAGGAGCATTAATCACCGATTACTATCGTACAAATAAAAACTTGAATGAAACATGTCGAAATTTATTAGTTGATTTAATAGTATCTTCATTGATTGATAAACAAATGTCCATGTCCATATGTTTAGCAGATCGTATTGCTACAGAAATAATTGGAACCTTCACTACAGAGTTAAAAGTAAATTGATTTACTATTATATTTTTATTATATTATAAAAATAAGTACCTATTGATATTTTTATCTTCCACACAATTTATAATTGCTATGCCAACCAATCAAATAATATTTTTTTAAATGTATTAATATTAATGTTATTGTTATTGTTTCTGAGGGCTGGAAAATTAAGTGGGCAAGAGTTTAAGTGGGATCTCCACCTTGTTAAAAAAAAAAAATAATATAATAAGTATAATTATATGAATTTATTTACAGGAAGTATATTTTATTAGAGATTTGACAAACAAGTGTCCCAAGGGGAAGTTATACTCCAAATACTTTAACAAAATAAGGAGCTTAAGAAGTCATGGATTGGTATCTCAACTACCGAAAGATAACAAAAATGTTGAAAAACAAACAAGGGTTTGCGCAGAACTAGATAGCGAAATAAGTAATTCAATTCTTTATTAGCTACTAATTTTTTATACATCAATACATTTTCAAACATTTATATAATTAACAGCAGCCGAGAATGATGCTGAGGTAGCAACTCTTCTGAGCAGTTTAAAACACGAAGACTTATCATGGCCCGATATGGAGGTTATTTGGAAAAAAACTACAGGATACAGATTACAACACCTGAAAGCTACACAATTTTCTGCTGTGGATATTCAAAAAACTTGGCCTCAATATACAAAACCACTTGGATATAAACTTGTAAGTATAACCATTTTTTTAAAGATTAACTTAGATATTTATGTTGGAAAAATTAACTAGGTACTTCTAATGACAATCCTTTTTTTCTACTTTTAATCGTACCCTATATAAAGTACTAAACACTATAATATTAACACATTATTATTCAATTTCAATCTCTTATTTTAATTGAATTTAAAACAAAATTCTATAATTTTATTAATATGTAATTTTATATTTCTCTATTTATTTTGTATCAGGATCATTGCACCTATTATTTACATAATTAAATTCAATAATATTAATATATAGAGGTTGATTTTGAATGACTTAGCAAAGGCAGTTTAAGCACACAATATTTATAAATATTTATAATTTGTTAATAGTTAACTTTTAACTTATTGATCTTGTATCCTCTTAACTTAAATTGAGTTAATTATTTTCATTAACTTGCCCACCTTTGTTTATAATATTGTAATATTGTACTTTAATATTTTTAAATTTTTAATAATATTATCTCTTTTGAAGTATTATATTATCAATGTGAAATAAAAGTACTGTCAAGTTTTAATTATTATTGTTATTTATTTTTTTAGATCGATATTGATTTCAAACGTTTGTATGGGAAAAATGTATCAGACTTACTCACTACATTTGATGCATCATATAACAAATTATTCCAAATTTATAATGAGCGAATAAAAGATGTGAACAGTAAAAAATTACTCGAAGAACTGAAAAATGACATTAATGCATCAGAAAGTATGTACTAACTACTAAGTACTTTTTAATGATGACTTTTTTATATTAATCACATTATCACTTTGATTTAGGTTCTAAACATTGTGTAATTATATATTTGATGCATGCATTATTTTTACCAACGTCCAAAAAATCTTCAATTGACTCAGATGGTAAAAAATGTTTAATAAAATTTTCAATAAAGGATTCCCAAAATAGCTTCATCATGGTATCTAACACAGCAATAGGAATGGAAGAAATGCTGAAGTTGAGAAAAAGCAACAACAACCCCATACAGCCATGTTTACTGATTGTTGGCACAATACTGAATCCTACCCAAATCTTAGTATATTTTGATGACGTAAAGTACAAGTTTTTTTCTGTTATTAAAGCTTTAGATGTCTGTTTTAAAATATTCCATGTATTCAACATTGAATATCCATTGGAATCTCAAAACGTTTGGTTATTTATTCAACATTATTTTTATGATGTAAAATTAAAGTTTGATAAACCATGTCCATTAGTTTATCAAATTATTTCAGAACTAAAATAAAAATAAATTTTGTCATGTTTTTTCTTCTACCTATACTACCTATATTATTATATATTTGTATATCTTACTATGTGTTAAAATGTATTATATACTATATAACTGCTACTTAAGTTACGACTGTGAACAATTAACCTAGTTTAAAATTTTTAAGTTTTAAACAAATTATTTGTTAATTTAAATGAAAATTGTATTATACATTTAATAAATTTGTTTATTAATAAAAAAAACTTTTTTTTTTAAATTAAACATTGATTTGGTTAAATTAATTGTTAATATAACATAATTTAATTGTTAAAACAACAAATTTTAACAACATTGCTGTTTAAAAATGTAAAAAACTACTTTGTTTCATTAAACCGCCAGTTTAGTGAAACAACAATGCAGTATGTTAAAAATTAAACATTAATTTTGTTAAATTAATTGTAAATTAATTGTTAATATAATATGGTTTAATTGTTAAAACAACAAATTTTAACAACAGTGGTGATTAAAAATGTAATAAACTACTTTGTTTCATTAAACCGGCAATTTAGTGAAACAACAATGCAGTATGTTGATCTACCGATTAACAAAGTTTTAGTTTTGAAATTAACAATGATGCCTGTTGGCCCTATGTTAACAATGAATTTGTTGATTCAATTGGTATTATTTTTAATTTGAACGTGATTTTTCGTTCTGTGCGGGGTCCTGTGGCATCCTAGTAAGGACATATTTAAATATAAAGTGCAGGACGCAAATACAGATAAATCGACAACCAAAAGAAGCATATTGGCGCAAATAGCCTCATTATTCGACCCACTAGGTTTAGTGGGGCCGATAGTAATAAAGGCAAAAATTTTAATGCAAGAAATGTGGAGGTTAAAAATTGATTGGGATAAAGCGGTACCGGCGAAAATGCACGACGAGTGGACAAAATATTTACATGAGTTAGCAAACTTGCGTGAATTGAATATACAACGTTTTATATATGTACGGAAGATAATTGTAATATAGAGGTTCATGGTTTCGCTGACTGCTGACGCCAGTTTAGTCGCCTATGGAGCGTGTATATACATACGCACGACAGATAATAGTGACGTTTGCACGTCGCATTTATTGTGTGCAAAATCTAAAGTTTCGCCTTTAAAAGTTATATCGCTCCCGCGATTGGAACTATGCGCGGCCTTAATCTTAGTAAGGCTGTACAACAAAGTAATACCGAAATTAGGTATAAAAATACAACGTCGTTATTTTTGGTCGGATTCTTCAATCGTCATAGCTTGGATAACTTCACCCTCTACGCGTTTGCTAACATTTGTTGCGCACAGAGTGGGTGAAATTCACGACCTTAGTTCAGTAAATGAATGGCACCATGTTGAAACAAAGGACAATCCCGCGGATATTATTTCGCGAGGATGCAGTGCAAAAGAAATCATAAATAGCTCGATATGATGGCACGGACCAAGCTGGTTAACCAACGATCAGAAAAGTTGGCCAAAGACTGTTTGCGAGTTAAGATATACCGAAATACCGGAAGAGAAGAGTACACAGAAAACTGCTGCATTTGTAGCACAACCGGAAATAAACGAACAAATATTAAGCAAGTATTCATCGTGGAAAAGATTATTACGTATTTTCTGTTATTGTTTGCGTTTTATAAAAATTCGAATAAAAAAAATGAAAGTGGTTGGTCCAATATTATCCGATGAATTAAAAGAAGCTAAAATAATTATAATTAAAATAACTCAAGCGTCCCATTGGTCCAGTGAAATAAAGGATTTAAATAAAAATGGTACTTTAACGGTTAAAAGTAAATTACATAATTTACAACCCTTTTTGGAAGACGGAATTATACGAGTTGGCGGTCGCATAAAAAATGACAGCGACACCCTATTTTAATACCTAAGGGTAGTACAATTGCTAAATTAATATTGCTCAACGAACACGAATTACTTTTACACGCGGGCCCACAAGCGATGTTGGCGAACAGTCGATTAAAGTATTGGATAATTGGAGGCCGAAATATCGCTCGGCATGTATTTCACAAATGTGTAAAATGTTTTAGACTTCGACCAACAATAGTTGAACCTATAATGGCAGATTTACCAACCGAACGATTGGAGCCAAATCGACCGTTTAAAAAGTGTGGTGTAGACTACGCCGATCCTATTTCTATAAAAACAAGTTTAAGAAGAAATGCGGTTGTGCTAAAGGGATATATATGTGTATTTGTATACTTTAGTACCCGGGCTGTCCATATCAAGTTAGTTGCTGATTTGACTACTGAAGCCTTTTTAAATGCTTTAAAACGGTATATAGGACGCCGCGGTGTATGTTCCGATATATTTAGCGACAATGCTACCAATTTTGTGGGGGCTAACAATAGGTTACTGGAACTAAAAAAAATGTTTCATTCTGAAGAGCATTTAACCAAAATGTACGATGCTTTAGCAACGGAGGGTATAAGGTGGCATTTCATACCCCCCCGATCCCCTCATTTTGGCGGGTTGTGGGAAGCCTCTATTAAATCTATTAAAAATCATTTATACCGAGTTTTAGGTACGACTAATCTAACTTATGACGAATTGAATACTATCCTAATTAGAATAGAGGCAGTCCTTAATTCTAGACCTTTAACTCCCTGTTCCTCTGATCCTACTGATACTACACCATTAACGCCTGCTCACTTTTTAATTGGTGAGCCAACATGTTCTTTACCCGAACCAGATTTAACGGGGGTACCGGACAATCGCTTAAAACGTTGGCAGCGAGTAACTCGGTTAACTCAAACACTATGGCAACGCTGGAATAAAGAGTATTTGTCGCAGCTCCAAACCAGGCGAAAGTGGCTGGACAACAAGGGTCCTAAGTTAAAAGTTGGTACTGTGGTGTTGGTGAAAGAAGACGATACCCTCCCGATGTCTTGGTCCATGGGTCGAGTTGTTCGTGTCCAGGCTGGTGACGACGATGTCATTCGGGTAGCTACTATATTAGTAAAAGGTAAAGAAGTATCTAGAGCAGTTCGTAAACTTTGTCCTCTTCCTTTTGAGGGAAATAGCCCATAAAATAATAAAAAAAAAATATATATTTTTTGTAATATAATGTTATATTGATATCTAATTACCTATTATATCAAATTCTAATAATTTATTTATATTTAATAATTTTCTAACTTATATTTAGATTATTTATGTATTATACGTTATTTATCTATTTATTGTAAACTTTTTGTTGAAAAATTATTTATATGTATTTGTTCTTATTATGTATGAATATTCTAATTTTGGCATGGTGACGCGTGTATTATATTATTATTATTATTATTGTGTTTATCTGTATTAAATGTTATCTGAATCGATGTCCAGTTTATTATACCTTCCGAGTTTAGTGTGTGTTCAACCATGTATCAGTGTGCATATACTTGTCACCGCGTCGGTTGCCGCACAATAAAAGAAGTAATACAGTAAAATAAAATCTATTAATTACACTTAACCTTTACCTACAGTCCACTAAAAATCGACGGTAACAGTAGGTATTGATGTAAATAATTAAGTCATTAGAATATTGCGATAATGTTACTATCAAGATAGTTTTGGAGGATATTTATGATTAATCTTATGTGTGAAAGTTATGGTTTTTTTAGTTATTGTATTTTGCTAATATTATTGACTGTAATCGAGTATTAGCCGGTTGGTTTTCCAGTACCTGCAAAGTACACCAACAATTAAAATATGGACAAGTAATTTGTGTGAAAATTGTTCCAACTACTGGTATATTTGTTAAGTACCTACCTATATACCTTAAGTTATTAGTATATATGGCAGTATTTTGGCTTGTGACATATTCACCGACACTCGTCGGGAAAGTCATCACTCATCAGTCACCAGTGACCAATTATTATTGAATAAATTATAAACAAAAAAACCGTTTTATTTGTATATTATGTACGGCATTACGATGTATTCAGCTACACGTTAAGTATGAATTAATGTCAACGCCATGACATCATGAAAGTTTAAAAAAAACAATAATCATGATATCGAGAATGATGAAAATTGATACGATTCTATCCATTTTTATTTACTTATGAAACCGGCCCACTGGAATTCCCTTATTTGAGCCCTATAATGCAGAGCATGACGATACACCAACATAATATTATGTGTTTAAATGTAATAAGTAGGTAATTATTTTATACATACAAATATCAAATATGTAAAATATATAGTATATACCTGTTAAACAATGTTACAATGACTAAACAAGAAAAAGAGGGAAAAACAATTTGTTATCACCGAAATGTCTAAGCATCTTAACACTATACACGTAATGCTATCATATTATTATGCATGACGCACACGTGACACGTATTAGATCGGCACTCAGTATTCAGTAGTAAATAAATTAATTAATAGAGAGAATATAATACGAAGGACGAAGGGTTACCGTGGTAAAAGATGCAGTCCAGTTGTGGAAAACTCCAAACTGTAATCCAACGTTGATACGTTTTTATAAAATTTTAATTTTATTCAGTTCAATATTATTTTTTGATAATTATTTGTTTTAAATTTAAAATCAGATTTGTCATCAAACAGTCAATGTGTGAAGCCGCACACAGTCTTTGAGCGCAGTAAACACAAACGACAAATTGTTCGATCACGATAAAAAAAAACGCGCTTATACTATTTTCATCGTTGATGCTTTATTAAAGGATAATATTTTAGGCTATGCTCGAATTAAAACGACGAGTGTGCTGCACTGATGCGTCGATGTCACCGTTATGTACGTATATGTATATATATACTGTACAACAACAATTAAGCTATCGATGTAGACGATATGTTATCGGAGATAACCTATATAAAATGTATGTACATAACATCATTATGTGTTCCGCCGTCGAGCATTAATAAATCAGTCGTACTTTGTCAAAGCGTGTGATATGTGCCCTCGGTCCCCGCAGCCGTCATACGTAACAGTCAACTCAAGAGCGGTCGCTTAAGTGGTCCGGATTAGTCGCGCAGATCTGAGCAATGATGTAGTGGCTGCGAACAGCGACGCTTGTTCTATCGGAGCACGTACGGGGTACCGATTCTCACACATTTATTTCAATGATATCGTACCACCCATTAACACCACGAGCAACGGCGCTATATCGTTTGAAATAATTTTTACGTTTGCCACAACCCGCCGGGGCCACGTATTGCGGCCACCAGTTATGGTATGGCGAAAGGTAATTTCTGACAAAACACAGTCGCTCAAATATTTAAAATTTGAAAATAAACTAAGAAGAAAAAACGATAACAGTATATTACTATATTAGGATAACGTTCAATCACTCAATAATATGGAAAGGTTGTTGTTTTACTTCATTAAAGTAGGCATTACTCATTACTAGGGCTAGGATTTATATGCATTGGTATGTTTTTTTTGCAACTTTTTATTACTTATTTTGTAAGTAATGTCCACGAATTAGCTCTAGCTGAGGTAAATGGTGGTATTTTTATTTGTCATATTTTTGCATATTTTGGACAAAATGCATATTTTTGCATATTTTGAACAAAATGAATATTTTTATACATTTCGACTACAAAAACACAAAAAGTGCATGTTTTATAGTATATTAAATATTTCATTACAATTCATCTTATCGCAGTATAAAAATACCCCAATGTAATTTTATCTTATCTTACTGTCGCATACTTGTACGCTTACTAAATAAAAGCATACAGCTAAAAGTTAGTTTGTGTTTGACAGTGATCGTCGTATATCGTGTGTAGTGATACGTTGCCGTGTTGTTTGCGAACTGTATTGTTTTCGTTACGTACTTACCTAATACCTACATTCAATTATAAAATGCCAAAAATACAAAGTATCAGTGCAAAACTTCGACAATATGTCGAAGAATTTTCTAGTACAGTTTTTAAAACCGATGGTAAAACACTATTTTGTAATATTTGTGACCAGGAAGTATCATCAAATAAGCGCTTTCAAGTAACTCAGCATTTAAGTACAGCAAAACACCTCAGTAATTCAACAAGAAAAGAAAAAATGAAACAAATATTTATTAAAGACTCATTTGAAGATCAGAACTCAGAATTTTCGCTCGATTTATGTCATGCATTTTTAGCTTCTGATATCCCTTTATGGAAATTGCATAATACAACTTTTAATACATTTTTGCAAAAGTATACTGGTAAACATATTCCGGATCAATCTACAATACGAAAAAAATGTGTATCAGTTCTTTATAATGAAGTAATTGACGAAACTACAGACGTTGAAGGAAGGTACGTAGCTAATGGGTAATCGGAAAAAAAATCCCTGGAAAAAAAATCCCCGGAAATAAAATCCCCGTTAAAAAATCCCCGGTAAATAAAATCCCCAGAAAAAAAATCCCCGGAAAAAAAATCCCCAAAGCAACTATTTAAAAAAGTACATAATTATAATTAGTAAAAAATTTTAAAATTAGTAAAAATTAGATAATTAGAAAATAAGTAAAAAAAAAATAATATAATATTAGTTAGTTAATTAATAATAAAATAAATGTATATAATTATAGTCAGATTCGGTTCAGTCGGTTCGTTTTCTTATATTGTTAGACACAGCTGTCAAAAAGTCTCCAATGCTTAATTTATCTTCACTTTGTCTTATAACTAACTCTTTCAAGCGGATATTTATTGTTTGATTTTGTCCTCTTTTTGTACGTCTTGGTTCACCTAAAGCATCCAATGCTAACTGTGCTCGATCGGCGTCAATTTCATTTTTAATTTTCCTAATAAGTTTCCACATTGTAGGATGTTTTTGACCAACTAGTTTGGAAAACCTATTATTCCACCCTTCAACGATGTTGTTGGTTCTGTGGCAGTCATTGAGGGTGGTTTTATTTACATTCCACACAGCTGGTGGGAACATTGGTGGCAGTTTTCGAAACCTCATGTTATTTTCGTCGTTTCCAATTCTTCGATACTTGCCATTTACATAATACGAATCAAAATAATCTAATAAATCCATAAGATTTTCAGGCAAACTATATTTTAAATATTTCATTCCATCTTCTACGAGGTGCAATGGAAGGAATGCAAGTGCATCAATCATTCCACATTGTTTTCGAAACTCTTCATCCTTATGGTATTTCGAAGCAAAGCCCAATTCTTGTATTTTCCTGAACGTCGATTGACATAAGTGATAGAAGCAGCCTTTTATATCAATATGGACACCAATTACTTCTTTAGCTGCTTCAATAACTGCGCTTTCAAAATCGAGATGTAAACATTTGGGGTCAGGGTATACATTTCGTTCAGCACATTCATCCATTATAATTTGAAACATTTCTACGTATGTATTTTTAGTTTTCCTTTGTAAAATACAGTAAATCGTAGTTACAAATACATTATTTTTTTTTACCCGTATTACATATAACTGTAGGAAAAACTTTGGAGACAGTCCGAAATTCCCGTCTAAATACCAAGTATCTGATTCTGAAAGCAGTTGCAAGTGTTCATCTGTTGCAAATATAATTATCCTTTCAGATGCCTCTGGACCATTATCCCTCAATAATAGTCTATTATTACCCAATAATGCCCATTCACCTGTAATAAAATAGATATAATTTGTTAAGTATAGGATTTTATTTTCTAATTAATATAATTAAAAAAAAAAATTTACCATCAATAACAATTTCTTTGATATTTTGAGGTTCGTTCGGATTATGAAAACTTCGATGATATCTAATACTACGTTTTAAATATTCTTCCTTGGGTAACTCAGCTAAAACATCGACATCCAGATTCCCGATTACCTCCGAAAATATTTGGCCGGGTGTATCATTTGAGGATAAAGCTTTATTTTTTATTTCTTGTTTAACTTTTATGGCAGCTATAGCTATAAATAATAACAATTCTTATTTATATTCATTGGCGGAAATCTTGCGAACATAAAATATTTGTAGTTTTATATTTGTTTTTAAATTTGTTTGTATAATATTTTACATAATATTTTATAGGAAAATTAAAATTATAAGTTGGAACACTGTCCTATAGTGATTTATTTTATCGTCTGTCGAATAAAACAAAA